TAATCGTTTCAGTTTTTAACTATTATTTTAAGTATTTAAAAATGTATTTGTTGCATGTACACAATTTTGCATATTTTAATGTTAAATAAACACTATACTATATGAACTATATGATTTAAATGTACACTTTATTTGTATATATTTTATTTCAGCTGGCACACAGTTTTTAAATGATCGTAAATTTAAACAGTTACACAAACATTTGCTAATAACACTAGTTAAAATAAAATTTAATTTAATTAAAAACGACTCTTATCACCCCTAGAGTATGAAAAAATAGGTCTTGGCTAATACAATGCGAAAAATTATTGTTATATTTATCTTGGTATAATTAAACAGTGCGTTTCAAAAACAAAACTCACAATCTGATGTAAGCCGAACTTAAATTTAGTCTATGACACAATTTCCGAAATAATAATGTTAATTCAAATATAATATAGGTATATTATGGCGAACTGGAATCAAATACGAAAAACTAAAACTAAGTAGTACCAATGCAGCTTAATTTTGGCTTGCTTTTTTTTACTTAAAATTTTTCTTTGAACAACACGTTTACTTAAGAACACTTTTCATATGATAATTTCTCGTCAAAGAATCAAGATTTTGCAATTAAGCTCCGCCTCCTTGCTAACAACGAATAAAGAAAAATCGTCACAAATGAGACAGGGCGGGTGGGCGGGGTTTATGATTTAACTTTTTTTTTCTTCTCAATGTATTTACTCTTCATAACAAACGACTGAAAATGTATTTAAAGTGGTAAATTTTGTCTCCCACGCTTCTTAACATATTTACTATGATAAACAAGTTTTCACTTTCTTGGTGTGAATAAACGACTGCCACATTAAGAAAAAAAGGCTAAATACATAGCCCACCCACCCACCGTCATCTCAATTGTGACGAATTTTTTTATTCGTTGTCAGCCGAGAGGCGGAGCTTAATTTTGGCTTGTTTTGTTTCTTACTTAAAACTTTTCTTTGAACAACGCGTTTACTTAAGAACATCTTTCACATGGTAATTTCTCGTCGAATAAAAAGGATTTTGCATTCAAGCTCCACCCTCTTGCTAACAACGAATAAAGAACAATCGTCACAACTGAGACAGGGTGGGTGGGCGGGGCATATAATTTGATTTTTTTTTCTTCTTAATGTACATACTCTTCACAACAAATGACTGGAAACATGTTTAAAATGGAAAATTTTATCTCCCACATTTCTCTACAAATTCACCATTAATTTAAACAAGTTTTCAGTTTCTTGTTGTGAATAGAAAAACATGCACATATAAGAAGAAGAAAAAACCAGAATACTAACCCCGCCCACCCACCCTCTTCTCAATTGTGATGAATTTTCTTATTCACCGTGAGCCGAGGGGCGGAGCTTAATTTTGGCTTGTTTTCTTTCCTACTTAAAACTTTTCTTTGAACAACACATTTACTTAAGAACATCTTTCACATGGTAATTTCTCGTCGAATAAAAAGGATTTTGCAGTCAAGTTCCACCCTCTTGCTATCAACGAATAAAGAAAAATCGTCACAACTGAGACAGGGTGGGTGGGCGGGGCATATAATTTGACTTTTTTTTCTTCTTAATGTACATACTCTTCACAACAAATGACTGAAAACATGTTTAAAATATAAAATTTTATCTCCCACATTTCTCTACAAATTCACCATTAATTTAAACAAGTTTTCAGTTTCTTGTTGTGAATAGAAAAACATGCACATATAAGAAGAAGAAAAAACCAAGATACTAACCCCGCCCACCCACCCTCGTCTCAATTGTGATGAATTTTCTTATTCACCGTGAGCCGAGAGGCGGAGCTTAATTTTGGCTAGTTTTGTTTCTTGCTTAAAACTTTTCTTTGACCAACACGTTTACTTAAGAACATATTTCACATGAAAATTTCTCGTCGAAAAATAAGGATTTTGCAAGTAAGCTTCGACCCTCGGTTTACGACGAATAAAGAAAAATTGTCACAACTGAGACCGGGCGGGTGGGCGGGGCTTCTTTACAAATTTACCATTTCAAACAAGTTTTCAGTTTATTGTCGTGAATTGAAAACTACGTACATTAAAAAAAAGACAAAGGCAATTACAAACCCCGCCCACCCGCCCTCATCCCAATTGTAATGAATTTTCTTATTCGTTGTGAACCGAGGGGCGGAGCTAAATTGTAAAATGCTTATTTCTCTACAAGAAATTAGTCTGTGAAACATGTTTTTAAGTATGGTAACAAGGGTGTCCTAGACTTTTCAAATTACTTCAGAAAACAACACCCAATGGGATCCTCGAGATTTTTACAAAACTACTTCAAAAACAAAACACAAGGGGCTCCCGAAATTCTTTCATATTATTTCAAAAACAAGACCCATAGGGGCACCCGAGATTCTTTCATATTACTTGAAAAAAAAGACCCACAGGGGCACCCGAGTTTCTTAAAACTACTTCAAAAACAAAACAAAGGGGGTCCCCTAGATTTTTACAAAACTACTTCAAAAACAAAACACAAGGGGCTCCCGAGATTCTTTCATATTACTTCAAAAACAGGAACTACAGGAGGTCCGCGAGATTCTTTCAAAACTACTTCAAAAACAAAACAAAATGGGTCCCCTAGATTTTTTCAAATTACTTCAAAAATAAGACCCACAGAAAACAACCGAGATTCTTTAAAACGACTTCAAAATCAAAACACAAGATTTCCCAAAGATTCTTTCAAACTACTTCAAAAATACAAAGGGGTTCCCGAGGTTCTTTGAAACTACTTCAAAAACAAAACATAAGGGTTTCCGTAGACATTTTCAAATTACTTCAAAAACGAAACCCACATGGGATCCCCGAGATTCTTTAAAAACTACTTCAAAAACAAAACACAAGGGGCCCCCGAGATTCTTTTATATTACTTCAAAAAAAAGACCCACAGGGGGCACGCGAGATTCTTAAAACTGCTTCAAAAACAAGACAAACAGGGGACATCTGAGATTCTTTAAAACTACTTCAAAAACACAAGGGGTTCCCGAGGTTCATTGAAACTTTGAAGACCTGACTCAAAATGACTTGACTTCATATGGCCTGATTCGACACGACCTGACTCGACATGACCTGACTCGGCCTGACCTGACTCTACATAACCTGAATTAAGATGACCTGACTTGAGATTACTTAACTTGAAATGACCTGACTCGACATGACCTGACTAGACATGACCTGACTCGGCATGACCTGACTCTACATAACCTGACTTAAGATGACCTGACTTAACATGACCTGACTTAACATAACTAACTTGACATGACTTGACTTGTCACGACCAGAAATTACACATTTTCGACGTACTTAATATTTCTAGAATTTCATTTTAAGCCAAAAATTTCCTTATGAATTCCCAAAAACGCAAACACGACAACATACTGTTTTTGAAATTTAGATATTGGAGCATCTTGTGCCTTGCCCCATCAACTTCTCAATTCATGGGCCGCCTCTGATCGTTTCCCAAGAACAAAATACTTAATGCGTTCGAATCATAGACAGTGGCGGAGTATGAATGACTAGAGTACGATACGTAACGAATTCAGAAAAACAAGCTCTTCCAAAATTCAAAAAAAAAATATTGTCATTAAGAAAAAGCTGGATGTAGCCAAACACAAAAAACGCGTAGGTTGCGAAAACAAATATATATCGTTTAGCTTAACCTTCGACCAACTTTTTAATTAAATCAGTCCAGACTTTCCAGACATCTGTACGTAGCCGCCAACAATGCCTAATTTCCCAGAATTTTCCATTGTTTCATAAAAAATTCTGACGTGAGAAAAATAAACGCTTTCCAGTCCAAGTTCTGCAGTGTTGATTTCATTAAAAATTGAGAGAGTAATTTTAATTCTGTACAAAAACATGGAAAGCCAAAGTTCAGAGGTCCTTCCACTTACAAACTCTGGATGCCGCTGCAGTAACACATCAATAATTATTATTTTAATATTTGAACAGTAATCCCACTCGGAGTATTTCAATACAATAAAAAATTAAATATCCCCGATTTGAAATGATTTACTCCACATAATGGAAAATTGGTCCAAACTTTTAAGATCATTAACAACTTAAACAATTAAAATGGATTCGGCTTTGGGGCGAAGTTTTAATGACACCAGGAGCCCCAGAAGCTGATGAGCATCCTTTTGTTAGTCGCTATTCCCCAAAACTGATTCAATTCCGCCCACTCATAAACAATACTGTGTATTTATAATTATGACGTTCTCTAACTCAAGTCATAAAACAGCTTAGTATGTAGCGAAGCCCCCGGTCAAGAAATTAAAGCAAGTAGTATTTAATAATGAAAATTATGCAAATCGGTAAATCTGATTTGGCAATTGAGCAACGGTCACGTCCCTGATTGTGTACGGCGTCTTCCGTCCAAATTGATTAAGTTTCATCCAACACTCGGTTCCGCAATAATTTGTAAGCTGGCTAATCCTTCGTCGTGATTATACCACGTAATATCTACAAATCTGCAAATGAACGTATTACCATAAGAAAACGTCCGAGGATAAATAACGAAATGTCCTTCTAATCGCTCGGAACAATTGTTGAAGTTGGAGCAATTTAAGTTACTTTAAGCAAAGCTGACTTTTAAATGTAAGAAGCTTTAATAAATGTCTGCATTACTTTTTGTTGCGCGCTGCGAGTTTCCAGTTGCCGTTTTTATTCCCGACGAAGCTTACGAGGGATTTAGGAAAATATTTCGTGTGGTTACTCTAATTGAGCTTTCCCGATTCGACACAAGAAACTATGCGGCCTGACGAAACCGTAAAACATCCGACAAGGAGGAAATATAATAACCATAAAGTTTTACTACCCGTTTTAAAAGGTAACACATCTTTATTAGATTATTCGGCTTTCCCGCTGATAAAAATTTTCAGGAGATAAGGCGTGCCGCATTTAGCGCCTGCTACGCAAGTAAGTGGTCTTTAGATGAGCGCCAAAACAAAGTAAAAATAATCATAAATCTTACTTGTAGTTGTTATCCAGAGGAACGTTTCCTATGGCCACATTATCGTGCGTCTGCTTGTTGTTTTTCGCCCAATAATATGTCAGGGTCTCTCTGGAATTGTGAGGTGAAAATCGGCATTCCAACGTGACATCTTGGCCTTCCCTGGTGTCCTTAATTTCGTCAGTCAAGATTATGTCTGAAAAATTGAAACAACGATTGATGATATCGAACGATCCAACAGAAAAAGGACACGTTTTCAGGTCACAGTTTTATCTGCAAGACGGTTTAAGTCATGCTTTCAGAAAATAAAGCGCAACACTTATAAAGGGCGAATTCTGTTTTTCATTAAGGTTGTATATAGGGTCGCTAGAATGTGTGGAAACGGCTAGATATCTAATTGTAACTAAAATTAGGTGCAGAAGTACAAGAGGTTAAACCTAATTATTCGTCAGAAAAAATTTTTTTGGCTTCATTTCTATTCGAGATGCAAAACCAACTTGATTTTTTTTTAATGATATATAATTAATGAATTTTTGAATAGCTTTTTTTCTGATTGAAATGGCAAAATAAATTATTCTAAACAAGAAGATACGACTGAAAAGATGTTTAAAATGGTAAATTTTATCTCCCACACTTCTCTAAAAATTTACCATTTTAAACAAGTTTTCAGTTTCTTGTTGTCAATAAAAGACTACTAAAATAAAGTTTTTGCAATTAAGCTCCGCCTCGTGTCTCACAACGAATAAAGAAAAATCGTCACAACTGAGACCGGGTGGGTGGGCGGGGCTTATGAATTGACGTGGTTTTTATTCTTAATATACTTCCCCTCTTCACAACAAAAGACTGTAAACATGTTCAAAATGGTAAATTAATATCTCCCACACTTCCCTAAAAATTTACCATTTTAAACAAGTTTTCAGTTTCTTGTCGTGAATAGACGACTACGCACATATAAGAAAATGCAAGGTAAAATACGAACCCCGCCCACCCGCCCTCATCTCAATTGTGTTGAATTTTCTTATTAGTCGTGAGCCGAGGGGCGGAGTTTAATTTTGGCTTTCTTTTTTCGTTAAAACTTTTCTTTGAACAACACGTTTACTTAAGAACATGTTTCTAATGGTAATTTCTCGTAGCAAAATAAAGATTTTGCAATCAAGTTCCGCCTCCTTGCTTACAACGAATAAAAAAGAAAAATCTTCACAATTGAGACCGGGTGGGTGGGCGGGGCTTATGATTTGATTTTGTTTTTCTTCTTAATTTACTTAGGTACTCTTCATAACAAACTACTGAAAACATGTTTAAAATGGTAAATTTTATCTCCCAAACTTCTCTACAAATTTACCATTTTAAACAAGTTTTCAGTTTCTTGTCGTGAATAGACAACTACGCACATATAAGAAAAAACAAGGCAAAATACGAACCCCGCCCACCCGCCCTCATCTCAATTGTGTTGAATTTTCTTATTAGTCGTGAGCCGAGGGGTGGAGTTTAATTTTGGCTTTCTTTTTTCGTTAAAACTTTTCTTTGAACAACACGTTTACTTAAGAACATCTTTCACATGGTAATTTCTCGTAGAAAAATAAGGACTTTGCAGTTAAACTCCACCTCCTTGCTCACAACGAATAAAAGAAAATCGTCACAACTGAGACAGGGCGGGTGGGCGGGGCTGACCATTTGATTTTGTTTTTCTTCTTAATATACTTAGGTACTCTTCACAACAAACCACTGAAAACATGTTTAAAATGGTAAATTTTATCTCCCACACTTCTCGACAAATTTACCATTTTAAACAAGTTTTCAGTTTCTTGTCGCGATAGAAAACTACGCACATATAAGAAAAAAAGGCAAAGTACAAAGCCCGCCCACCCGCCCTCGTCTCAATTGTCATGAATTTTCTTATTCGTCGTAAGCCGAGGGGCGGAGCTTAATTTTGGCTTGCCTCTTTCTTACGTAAAATTTTTCTTTGAACACGTTTACTTACGAACATCTTTCACATGGTAATTTCTCGTAGAAAAATAAGAGGTTTGCAGTTAAGCTCCGCCTCCTTGCTCACAACGAATAAAATAAAATCGTTACAACTGAGACAGGGCGGGTGGGCGGGGCTTATGATTTGACTTTGTTTTTCTTCTTGATATACATACTCTTCACAACAAAAGGCTGAAAACATACACACGCACATGTAAGAAAAAAAAAAGGCAAAATACAAAGCACCCCCACCCGCCCTCATCTCAATTTTGATTAATTTTCTTATTTTACGTGAAATCGAAAAATTGTTACATTGAAATATCGGACAATTGAGAAACCGAAAAATTAAAAAATCGAGAAATCGAGGAATCGATGAATAGTAGAATTGAATAATCAAAATTGAGTGATCGAAAAATTGAGTGAGTAACCGAAAAATTGTAAAAAGAACGACAACTTGAAGAATTATGAAATTGAAATTAAAGATTCAAAAAATTGAAAAATCCCAAAACTGAAATATCGAAAAATTTGAAAAATCGAGAGTTGAATGTTGAATATTTATCCTAGACATCGAAATTTTTGGAAAAAATGAAAATTGCTATACAATAAAAATTCAACACGGATTCGTAAAGTTCAGGATTATGTTACTGTTTAACATTGTAAGATGACATCATCAATGGGCATAAATGGATAAATTCATCATGCTCTCTGAAGTTATAAAATTTTGATTGAACACAGATTCATAAACCACAAGTGGAGGAGTACATTACTCAGATCACTTTCATAAAATTGAAAATTTAAGGAAATGAGAGATCCAAAAACTGAAAAATCGAAAATTTGTACAATCGAAAAATGGGAAATGACAAAATTAAAAAACGGAGACAACGAATAATTGAAAAATGGACAAACTGAAAAATCACAAATTTCAACTTCTCGATTTTTAATTTTTAGGTTTTGTGGTTTTTCACTTTGTGGGTTTTAAGAATGGAAAAATCGAAAAAGCGAAAAATCGAAAAATCTAAAAACCGAAAAAATCAGAAACCCTGAAATCGAAAAGTTTTAACTAAATATTGAAAAACTGAAAATCCGAGAACCTGAAAAACTAAAATTGAAAATTCGAAAATTTGAATAGTCGAAAAATTGGGAAATAGAAGAACTGAAAAACCAAGAATCTAAAAAGTGAAAAATCGAGGTTACCAAATATAAAAATGGAAAAATCGAGAAAAATCTAAAACGTAACCTAACTTGACCTGACCCGCCATGACCTGACGAGCATCAGATCACCCCTCTGAGTGTGAGAGACGTATACATTTTTAGACCAATTTCTTGTGTTAGTTTTATATTCCGTGCTTCTGAAATTGTAGTAGAGCTAAGAGGTTCTATAAGCTACCAATTTGGGTATACAACGACGCTTTGATGTTGAATAATTAAATTTATTTTTAAAGCTTTTGCTGCGAACTAGTTCGAAAAGCGTTCCGGGCTTTTTGTGTCGTGTCCGGCCGGAGCGGAAAGTTGGCGAAATTCTCAGGGCGATAGGAAAATTCGACGTCTTCCAGTAACCGCAGACGACAGAGAAAAATAAGCGTCGCTGCTGCATCGTGATGTAGCGTTCCACCACAATAAATAAAATAAGGAATAAATGTGTTAGGGCAGAAAGAATGGGGAGTCACATGCGAATTTATTTCCCAAATGCTTCCAGAATGTCTTCCACTGGATATGATAACCTAATCTAGCGATAAAATTAAATTTGTGTGACGTCACGGGATTTTTTGTTTTTGTCGATTACGCGATGTTTACCGAGGAGTGGGTGCGGCAAGAGTCCGGGGAGGGCGTGAAATATGTTTTCTGGAAGCGATAGTGAGCCCCATATGGAGCGCCGGTCGAGACAAGATAAATATCTAAACAGATGTTGATAAAAATTTCCGTCTTAGCAGATGTGTTGGAAAATTCGTCACGAATGCGAGCGACATGATTTTGTGGTGGCTATAAGATCGGCGAAATAAGGCGATGGAGCGGCATATTTAAATGAAGTGCTCGCCCTGTTTTCGTGCGAAATGCAAATTTTCCTGTCATATATAAATTTAATTTTTTTGTTCGGAAAAATAGTATTCTGTGGTCCCACCCGGGGACCGAATTTCCAAGAGAACAAGACATATTTTAAAACTCGTTTCGTTCTACTCCTCTAATAAATGCTCCGAGGATCATCTTGAATATTAAAGGAGCGCCCGACTATTTGGATACTTTGTAGTTGAGAACTTTTACGAAATAATTTATTATTAAGTTGAGGAGTTTTTTGTATTAGCACAGGCAAAGTTGTTATCGAGTTGTAAAGTTTAGAGAGGAGCACTTGGCGAAAATTAAGTGCCATCGAACTTGGAGAAAATCCGTGATTCACTCGCGCTAGTTTTTACTTCCTCTGGCTAGTTTTTCACCAGCCTCATGATTGCAAACGGCTCATTCATATTTATAGTTGAAGAAAATCCATTGCATTCGGCTCCACCGGAGCGTGAAATTCGTGTTGCCAGTGCTCGATATAAGATTGATTTGTTTTTCAATCGTCACGTGTTGCTGATTAAGGTCCTCCTCGACGAAACAAACTACTCGACCGCAAAATCAACGCGTGCTTCGCTTTTTGTCTCCGCTTTCCGACGTGAAAAATCGACGCCGACACTTAAAATTAAATTCATTTGTTTGTGAAAACGTATTCGATGGATTTTTCACTTTGTTAACAAGGCGCTGTGATTAATGCGGCTTCGGGAAAATAAAAAAATCGCGCCCAACGAAGCCAATCTTCGCTTTCCTCTTTGCCTAAGTTCGGTGTAAACCCAAAACGCGACACATCCTTATTACCACCGCAAGCTCCGTAATAACGCGCGAAAAGGCGGAACTTTTAAATTTTTCACGCAGATCGGTTTCACGAGTTCGCTTTGATCGGGAAAACGAAACTACTAATTGTGGAACTTTTATTGATCAAAAGACAAGATCGCAAAGTAAAAGTGACGAATTATAGGTGAAATTTTACGTTCAACATGCGGGTTAATGCGTCGTTATCGCACTAGTGACATAAATGTAAAGAGCGCATTTTAGGCCACAAAAAAACCAAAACGAAATTCTACGTAATCAGCGATCCTAATCGTTGCATAACAAATCAGATATTTTTCGAAACTTTCTGCAGAAAAATTTTTCCTCTTGTTTGTTAGGACATTTTGATGCCTAGAGGAGGATCCCGCAACA